TTATATATATATATATATATATATATATATATATATATATGACGATGGTGTAGAAAGTTACTTTATCGCGGTATCAGTTTTATCGTTAAAATGTGCAACAAAAGATGCGGAATCGGTAGACCTGATCGATACCTGAGGGCAAATCGATTTATTATAAAGGAGGAAGTAATTCGAACATGTTTCATGTACAGAGTTCTATGCAATTCTGTTTTAATTATTAAGAAAATTAAGAAAAATTAAGAAAAAGAATTGTAATTTTTCAATTCTGTTTTAATTATTAAGAAAATTAAGAAAAATTAAGAAAAAGAATTGTAATTTTTCACTCATGAAGAATGTCGTCTTAATGTTACGATGTTATTCATAACATATCATTAGCAAATAAATAATTTCTAAATTATATACTATCAAAAATAGAGAGATTCTTCTTTTCAAAGAAACTAAAAAGACAATAATTAATCACCTTGTATAGCATGATATAACGCAATCGTCAATTAAATATATAATCAACTTGATCTCCGTTGATCATGTTATAAACGGTTATTGAACGTCTCTAAAAAATGCAAAAAAAGGAAAATAAGAACTTTGATAAAATTCCGCTCTTTCTCTCTCTCTACCTTTTATTTATCGTTTAATAACATTAATATATAATTTAATTAGAATAATCTAAAAATCTTTAATTCTCTGATCTGATGTGTTTGCTTAATTTTACAATATATATTAATTCAATATATAAATAAATAATATGAATGTAAAATTGAACAAAGAGTAAATTACGATGTAAAAATAGAAAATTAAACTATGGATAACAAGCAATTCTTTTTGAGAGCAAAAGACAGTACGATTTAATATTATCGGTTTCTCACGTATTCCATGAGCGTCCCTTTATCCGGCGAAATGGAGGGCGAAATGCAGTCGATGGCATTACGTAAGTGATGCATGTAACTCTCTTGGCTGCGCTCGATTATGTGGGAAGCCGATCGTAGCGGCGTATCTGTGAAAACGGCACATGTACACTCACGATCCAGGAATTGAATCGAACATGTGACCATTGAAGCGTGACTTTGAGAGAGGTTTATGTACCCAGATGCAGACTTGTGTTTCTCTCTCTCTCTC